GACCTGCGTCCCTGCTCGTCGACGTCGACGAGTCCTCGATGGAAGTGGTGTCTCTACGGGCGATCGTCTCGGCGACGAAGTCCACGCCGGACCGGCTGCATGCGAGGCTCGCCCACGTTGGCATGGACACCATCATGAGCTCGGCGAAGAACGAGGTTGCCACTGGGCTGGACCTCAAGTCAGCGTCTGGTGCCGACTCACCGTGTGTCTCGTGCGTCGGCGGGAAGCTAGCATGGCACACCTTCCCCAACCAGGGCTCCGACGCCGACGACGTGCTGGCCGTCGTGCACATCGACCTGTGCGGGCCGTTCCGCGTGGCTGCCAAGGACGGAAGCCTGTACTTCTTGCTGATGAAGGACCGCAAGACCCGCTACGTGTGGTTGAGGCCGATCGCCAAGGAGTTCGTGCAGTGGCTGGTGGTGGCTAAGCGGCAGACGAAGAAGTCAGTGCTGATGCTGCGTTCCGACCGGGGAGGGGAGTTCCTCAGAAAGGACTTCACCACCTTCGTGGACGGCAAGGGGATCGTCCACGACCTGACCGCAGCTGAACGGCATGGCAGAGCGGGGGATGAGGACGGTGGTGGAGTTGGTGCGGACGATGCTGCTGCACATGGGCGTGCAGCACCATTGGTGGCACCTCGCTCTGCGGCAGCCGTCTGGGTCCGCAACTGCCTTGAGAGGTCGACGCTGCCGCTAGGGACGACGCCGTACCAGCTGCTCACCTGGAAGAAGCCTGACTTGTCGCTGGCATGCGTGTGGGGCTGAAGCCGAAGGCCAGGTGGGGCCTTCATCTCGACGTGTCGGAGGAGAGTAAGGACTGGGAGCTCCTCGACATCGCCGACAACTGGGTGGTCACCACGTCAGACGTGGTGTTCTACGAGACCATGTCACTGGAGGTGTGGAAGTCGGAGCATGGGCTGGCGTCGGGGCGGACGCGGGTCAGCCCGCCGACGGACACCTCGACAGCGACGCTTCCGCTGCTCGCCGAGGTCGGTGAGCTTGCTGATGAGGACGCCGAGGACGTCCGCCCTCTTTCCCCTTCCCCTGCCCCTCCTGCCACTCCCCTTGTAGCCGACTTGCATGGGCTGACTCCGGTGTCGGCCTTCGGCGATGAGGGGAGAAGTGGGGCCTCGCCTGCGGCGCCGGCCAAAAGCATCGCCGGTGGCTTACGTGACACTGTCAAAGTCGGTGTGGGAGCAAAGACGCCGACCGGGGAGGAGTAGGCCGAGGAGGTGCAGCCGACTTTGGTGAAGCTGGCAAAGGAGGCACCAGTAGGGCAGCAGCCAATAGGTGAGCAGGCAACGGCGAAGCCGACCAAGGAGCAGTCGGCGACCGGGCAGTTGGCAAGGGAGCCGACCGTAGGGGAGAAGTCAACATGGAAGCTAACTGAGGTGCAGCAGGACGATGAGGGCAGTGAAGCTGGTGACAATGGAGGGGGTGAGGCCAATGATTCCACCGACAACGACGTGGTGGAGGTCCAGCCTGGACCACGGCAGCCAGGCCGAATTCAGAGGCCACCCGGCTTCTACGTATTGGCTGCCTTCGCCACGGCGTATGACGAGGTCAACGACGACCTGCTATACAACAACGCCGAGGAGGATGAAGAACTGTCGGAGCTCGACCCTGACATGCACGCCGACCCCGAGCACCGCTGGGACATCTACCTGATGACGGTGAAGGAGGCGTTAGCGAGCTGGAAGGGTAGGGCGGTGAAGGCCGCCATGGAGGAGGAGATCCGCAACCTCATTGGCATGGGGACCTGGGAGCTGGTCGAACGCCCACCTAGGTTGAACATCATGAAGAATCGGTGGGTGTTGAAGTACCACATCGACGACACCGTCGAGTGCGAGAAGGCGAAGCTGGTCGCGAAGGGCTTCACGCAGGTGTACGGTGCCGACTACGACGAGACGTACGCACCGGTGAGCAGCTATGGCATGCTGAGGATCTTCCTCAGCATCGTCGCTATCCTTGACCTCAATTTGATGGAACTCGACATGAAGAACGCCTTCCTGCAGAGCAAGCTCGTCCGGGTCCTGTACCTGTACCAGCCGGACCACTTCAACGAAGTGACCGGCCGGGTATGCAAGCTGCTGAAGAGCCTCTACGGGCTGAAGCAGTCGCTGCTGTTGTGGTACAAGGCTCTCAACGACGTGCGGCGCCGGCTGGAAGAAGAGCCAGGTCGACGCGACACTCTGCTTCAAGGTCGGCGATGACAAGGTGGCTTGCTGGGTGCTGGTCTACGTCGATGACCTGCTCGCCGCCAGGAGCAGTGCAGCGATGCTGGAGGAGCTGAAGGAGCTGCTGGAGGCCGCCTTCGAGCTGCAGGAGATCTCCCTGGTGCATAAGTACCTCAGGCTAAAGATTGTGTGCGACAGGCCGGCAAGGAAGCTGTGGCTGCACCAGCAGGGCTACACCGACCAGCTGCGTAGGCGTTTTCTCGACGAGGAGCAGACCGGGCGCACCCCGAAGACGCCGGTCTCGGTCGACACCTACGCCGAGCTAAGTCCGACGACGAGGAGGCGCAGGAGCGCTAGGAGGAGGAGTACCGGCAGAAGGTTGGCTCGTTGCAGTTTGCGGCGACGACGATGAGGCCAGACATCTCCTTCGCATGCAGCAAGCTGGGGAGCAGCCTCACGGTAAGGAGCAATCAGCATTGGTGCGAGGTCGACCTCTGCCTTGCCTACCTTGCCAGCACGCGCGACACCACCCTGGAGTTCGACGGTGAAACTGAGTCGCTGAAACTGGTCGGCTATGTGGACGCCGACGATGCCGACGACAAGCAGAACCGGACGAGCACGGGCGGCCACGTGTTCGTTTACGGAGGGGCCGCAGTCTTCTGGTCGAGCCAGCGCATCATGTGCGCGGCGCTGTCCTCGACCGAGTCAGAGTACATGGCGGCAACTGAAGCCGGCAAGGAGGGTCGTCGCCTTCGCTTCCTCCTTCCAGAGTTCCGGCAGCTGGACGTCGGGACGCCAACTGTTCTTCGGGTGGACAACAAGTCGGCCATCACGGTCGCCGATGGCATGGGGTAACCTCATGACGGGCAACCTCAAGCACATGGAGTGGCGACAGGCCTGGCTGCAGCACATGGTGAAGCGCGGGAAGTTTTCACTGAAGTACATCTCGACCGCTGAGCAGCCAACCGACTTTCTGACAAAGGCGCTGCACTATCCGGCCTTCACGTCGCAATCGGCCAAGTGCGCCTTGCCGATGTGGGTGACAGCAACGACGATGTGCAGCAGTAGGTGCCATGCCCTTTTGCATGGCTGGTGCGGTGACCTGCGTGCTGTATGTTTGGTGCACGCCGACAAGCGATTCTTCGAACAGTGTTGCCGTGTGGGCTGAGGGCCCAAGCGTGAACGCGGCAAGGGAGTGTTAACGGGAGATGTGAAAGGCCCCGTCCTCGCTTGGGCGGAACCGACTTTGTGGTCGGGTGTGAGGACTGCAGCCGACCTGTAGCAGTGGGCAAGCTGGTCGACGGGGCTAGTCGACTTGCACAGGGGCCACTGCAGGGGCACCGAATTCGAGGGGCGCCGAGTGTGGGTGGTCGACCAGGTGAGTTCGACTTCGGAGGCGTCGACGTGAGGACGCCGACTTGGGGCAGCCGGCTTGGCGTGGCCGGCTGGCAGCTGGTCTGGTGGACTTGGAGCTGGTCAAGGTGGTTGCCGTGTCGACCAGGTTACCCGGGCGTCGGGTTTCTGCAGAAGTACACGACAGTCGCCCAGGTGGTTTTGGCGAGACCGACCTCGATGGCGGTATCCCGAGGTCGATATGGCCGACCAGACATAGTTGTCAGCACGAGGACGATTTGGTGTGTGCGCTGTGCAGGTGACAAGACACGGCACGCCAATCATTTGCGAGCACCTGCAAAGCGAGTGCGCTGCTGTCCTGCGACTGCAATGCTGTACAGCCGACTTGCTGCAGCGTTGGCACGCCGTTGACTTGCATTGTTGGCGGGCCGCGACTTTGCACTGCTGGAGTGCGAGCGACCAAGTTGTGCTGGAACGCGGTCGATCATGCTGCGCTGGCAGTTGACCTACTTGCATGCTAGCTCTGATGTAGTCAGTCAGTCTTGCCAACTCTGTTGCAATCATTCTAAATCATTGTTGTCATGTTTTCCTAGTGAAACTCTTGACAATTCTCCCATGAACTAGCAAGTGGTGTGCGCACAAGGAAACGATTAAGTGAACGAACGCAGAGATCACCCTTGCCCCGTGCCTGGCCCGTAATCTAGCTCCCTAGAGCAGCAGCAGGTGGTAGCAGCAGCACCTAGGGCGGCAGCAGCAGGCAGTAGCACCTAGGCTGGCAGCACCTAGGGCGGCAGCAGTAGGCGGCAGCACCTAGGGCAGCAGCAGGCAGCAGAACCTAGGGCAGCAGCAGGGCAGCGAGCGGCGGGGCAGCACGAGCAGCAGTGCAGCACACGCAGCAGCAGGGCAGCGCAGAGCAGCGTGACCGCGCGGGGCAGGGCAGGGGTGAGCAAGGCAGCGCGCGACGGCAGCAGCTCCTGTGGCAGGAGTGACGGTGGGCCCTAAAAAAAGCGGTCCTAGGTCGGGACCTGCTCTGAAACCATGTCAGAATCAATACAGCGGAAATGAATCAACTAGGCAACAGTTGGATACAAGTAGGAAACCCTAATTGGGTTATCCCCTCCAGTGTGAACCTCACTGTAGCCTACAAGCTAATAAACATATAGTGTGACATGAGGTGTTTCCCGTGGACTCGGTCTGTGCTCTCATCGAGAGACACTCCAATCCTAGGCGACTCCAGCAAGTGCAACCGCTGCACTTCTTGCAGGTATGTTGAGATGGCCCGGATATTCTCTCTGAAGCCGTATCTTTATACCACAACAACAAATGACAAGTGTCAGGACATTTGAAGAACATCACCCGAAGCACCCGTAAACCCGCTGCCATCTCATACCATGGTATCGTAAAGTACGTCACCGGTTGTTTTAGCAGGCGCCTCGCCGTCTAGGGCAGCTGGACATTGCGGTGATGCTTCCTATCGTGGTGGAGGGGCTCCCCAGAGCTGTTGCTGCGTGTACTTCACTCCAACACACGGACGTTTCCCCGGCGTGCTGTTCACAGTGGACGGTGAACCCGCGGGGGGCCTGGACGACCCCTCACCACCCCCTGGCACAAGAAGGATTGATGGGTGCGGCTCCCAGTTAGCAGGCGTGGATGGCGGCTCGAACGGATACACTGTTCCCACATTGCGCACTGGAGAGGCGGGACGTGGCAACGTTGAGATCGGCACGCTATAGGTGTCACAGTGGCGGGGAATAACTCCCAGCACCGAGCCATTGCGCACAGCACCAGGCGATTGTGGAGGTTGCTCGGCAGGCATGACTGAGACATGTGAGAGACCCTCGTAGGTGTTCCCCACACGGAGTGAATGAGAAGGAGAGAGAAGATGGGGTGTTGGGAGAACGACCCCCTCCAACACCCGTGATGGCTTGGATGACCCCGTAGCGCGGTTCACGCATGGCTCGCGGTGGTCCCTTTTGGCTGCCATGAGGTGTCCTGGACAACACGAACAGAGCATCCCTGCCCTGCTATGCTGTCGGCACACTACAAGACAAGCCTGGCAGCTGTCAAATGCTGCTATGGCCGTGTTTCCATGTTGCGCTGGCAGCTTGGCTGCCAAGTCCACCAATGTGGTGGTTACGCGGCACGTCGCGTATAATTTCTCGGGACTGCGCCTGTGGTTGATATTCGTTTTTTGTGTGTGTTGGTCATGCTGTCCATTTCGTATCATGTTGGAATTCGGAAATCCTCGCTTCCAAGAATTCAGTGTAAGTGTAACTGAAACCGTACCCTGTACACCCAGGGAAAATTTTCGTTCACACTGTTTTACTAAGGCTGAAAAAATTACTACACTTTCTGGCCTAGGGCAAAAATCTAACTACCCTTTCTGTGAAAGGGTAAGGGTACATCCGGGGCTCTAGTCTGAACCTCTGGTAAAACCTCTGGTCAACCGTGTTGGAAACATATAGTTCGCGCTTCTGATGTGTCGAGTATTACAACGCAAGCGAGCAAACTACAGCGAAGTAACAGCGAGTCAACTAAAGCGGTTGACAGAAAGACAACAGCAAGAGGTTGAGTGAAGGTCAAAGGTCGGTGACCTTTGACTAGCCGAAAGCAGCGCAACAGCAAGGACACATAACTGACTCGCTATTGAGCAGTTACCCGAGTCGTCGCTGTATCGAACCTCAACAACAGTTAAAGTTAATTAAACCTTTCATATTCCTTTGTAATCAAATAAAGCTTTGTATCTCTTTGCTATTATTAACTTATCTTGTTCTCACACACCAGTGCAAGGTGGTTCAAACAGTTCAGTAAGACGCTTCCGCTGATACATAACTGTCCTCAGTCTTAGCCTTGAAAAACGATCCTAAGGGCTTTTCTCATCCCAACTTGGTATGAGAGGTAGCAAGGCAAAATTCATCTCTGTTCAAATCCCTACGACAATAGAAGGCATGACAACACAGAAAGAAAGAAGCTCATCTGCTGGATCTCCTGGCAACACTCCTACTCCATCTCCAGCCTCTGGACTACAAACAGAGAGAAGCACAATCCAAGGACCAGCTGCTGAGGATACTCAAACTCCCGCTAATCAAGCAACCAGCTTCGACCCAAGCATGATGGAGAAGTTCTTCTCCTTCATGTCGTTTTACGAGCAAAACCAGCAAGCGGCACCTGCGCAGTCAAACAACAGCGACAACAACAACGAAGTCACTCCCATGAGCCTTGACGGTTCATCCTTTGCGCGTGGAAATCAGCAGCCTACCTTCGTACCGTTTGAGCCTCAACGCGGCTCCGTCAGCTTCATGCCGAATCGGCTCCCACCTGGACAAGAAACAAAGACGCTGGACGCACTTCAACTGCAGTCACAATTTGCACACGTTTGATAGCAAATGATTTATATCCAAATGACAACACCATTTGATAGCAAGGATTTATATCCAACGCACGGAGGAAGGCGCACAGATTCTTGGCTTCTTCGACAGTTCCCTGCCATATCCAACGCACGGGACGCAGTACGACAAGCAGCAGTACGCAGATCAGTCGCTAATGGCGTACACCATACTTCTGCGAATCATAACGTCAAACAAGCAGCAGAACATCGGTCTTATTGTGGATACGGTAATTCTGCCGAGCTCGCGTACAACCATATGAAGAACATGTATCAAGCAACCGACAGCGTTAATCAAAGTCGTCTCAAAGCACAACTGACAACGATTCAAATGCAACCCGGCGAAAAGGGAATGCCATATATCAATCGCTGTCACGGACTCCGCAATAGACTCCTTCGATGCGGCGGATCAATATCCGAAGAAGCGTTCGTCACTGTCGTTATCACAGGTCTTGGTCCTCAGTGGCTCTCCACTCAAGCCATTCTCCGAGCTCACGGAAGAATCTCCGAAGCAAGTCTCTGCGCTGAAATTCACGCCGAGCAACAAGACATGGACCTGCACGAAGAACATCACAAGAGAAAGGCATCAGCACCAGAGTTCGCCTTTCACAATCAACGGCGCTACAACAACAACAACCGACGGAATGAGCATAACGGACGAAGACACGTACCACCGTTCTGTCATCTCTGCCGAACGTCAGGACACTCCAGTATTCACTGCCCAAACCAACAGAAAACACCACCACCACCGCATCAGCTTCGACCTTCAAGTAGTCAATTGGCTTCCACAAAGCAGCATCCTGTCAAACATTATACTTGTTATATTTGTGTAGGCTATAGTGGGTTAGCCTATAGGGGGTTCACAACTCTATTTGTACTCTCACTTCTTTCTAGTCAAACACTTCTTCTTTCTAACATAGTATTAAGAGCGTAGGTTTAGACCTAGGATCGCTCCTTAGGGCCCACCGTTCAGTTTCTGTCTGCCTACTAGCGCCCTCGTGCGCCCTACTGTCGGAGCGCCCTCGAGCGCCTCCCCCCAGCGCCCTCGTGCGCCCCTCTTTAACGGCCCCTTAAGGCCCCGCGACCCGCGACCCGCCCCTTAGCAACCCGCGCGCCGCCCCTTAGAGGCCCCGTCGACCCCGCGCGCCGCCCCTTAGAGGCCCCGTTGGCCCCGTCGACCCCGCGCGCGCCCCGCTTAGAGGCCCCGTCGGCCCGTCGACCCCGCGCACGCCCCACCTAGAGGCCCCGTCGGCCCCACCTAGAGGCCCCGTCGGCCCCACCTAGAGGCCCCGTCGGCCCCACCTAGAGGCCCTGTCGGCCCCGTCGACCCCGCGCGCACCCCGCCTAGAGGCCCCGCTGGCCCCGTCGACCCCACGTGCGCCCCGCCTAGAGGCCCCGCTGGCCCCGTCGACCCCACGCGCCGTCCCCTAGCGGCCCCGTCGACCCCACGCGCCGCCCCTTAGCACCCCGCACGCGACAGCCACGGCCCCGCCAGAACCAGGCCGCCCGAACCGAGCCGCCCGAACCGAGCCGCCCAGTCCGAGCCGAGCCGCGCCGCCCGAACCGAGCCGCGCCGCCCTACCCGAGCCGCGCCGCCCTACCTGAACCGAGCCGCGCCGCCCGTACTGAGCAGCCTCTCTGGACCAAGCTGCCCTACCTGAGTCGCGCTGCCTACTGCTTTTAGGGTGCACCTACTGCTACTAGTGCTACTACTCCGGCTACTATACTGCTGCTCCTACTGCTACTATGGCCAGCCCTCCTGTGCTAGTTTTCGATGCTGAGGGCCGCCCAGTGAAGTTTGACACCTGGCTAGATGACCTACACCTCTTCCTACAGCTCACTGCCAAGGAGGACATCTCACTGTACGATCATGCGCTAGGCCATGCCACTGCCCCTGCTGCTACTGCTGACAGCACTGCCCGCTCACAGTGGCAGACTCGTGTCGCCCACGCTCGCTTTGCTATTCGCAACTCCCTGCCGATAGATGAGCGCGAGCACTTTGGCCAGCACAAGACTGCACAGGCACTGTACACTGCTGTCGTTGCCCACTACTCCTCACCTGCCTCTGCCGCGCTAGGCCGTCTCTCACTCCCCTACCTGTTCCCCGACCTGACCTCTTTCCACACAGTCGCTGACCTCATCACGCACCTCCGTACTAGTGAGGCCCGCTTCCGTGCCGCCATGCCCGATGATTTTCTTGCCACGAACCCCCCCCCGCTCTGGCTCACTCTCTACCACCTAGTCACCCGCCTCCCTGACACTCTGCGTGCAGTCAGGGATCACTTCCTAGCTCGCTGCCCCACTGAGCTCACCATTGCCCTCCTCGAGAAGGAACTACTTGCAGCTGAGGCTAGCATAGTCGCTGTAGGTGCCTCTCGTGGCGACCCCCGCACCCCTTTCTTTGAGGGGTGTTCCCCTTCCCCCCTTCTTCCCTCTGTAGCCTCTGCTTCTGCTGTCGACCTCCTTGGTGCTGAGAAGGTCGGGACTGCGTCTGCTTCGAGCTGGCGCCGCAGCGGCAAGGGCAAAGGGGGCAAGGGAGGCGGAGGTGACGGCGGGGGAGGCGGTGGTGGGGGCGGTGGCGGCGGTGGGGGTGGTGGTGGGGCTGGAGGGACTAGTGGCAGCGGTGGGGGTGGTGGCGGCAGCGGCGGGGAGGTGGCAGGGGCGGGGGCGGTGGTGGGGGCGGCGGTGGACGCGGCGGCGGCAGGGGAGGGGGTGGTCGAGGAGGTGGCGGCGGCGGTGGTGGTCGTGGAGGCGCTGGCAGTGGCCAGAGCCAGCAGCACACTCCGTCGCCCCAGGAGCTCCGTGAGTGGTACCTTCGGCACGGGGGGGGGGGGGGTGGCCTTAGCTGCACGTACGTCATCCGCACTGGTGACCGCACTGGTCAGACGTGTGGGAGGGCACACACCGCGCAGCGCTGCTTCTCTCGCCTCGACGACGCTTGGCGTACTCAGTTCCCTGATGCCACTGAGCTGCCCCGCTGGGCTGATCTGATGAAGAAGAACATTGATATCTATGCTCTAGACTTTGATGCTATTCTCACTGCCATGTATGTGATGTCTACTAGTGGAGAGGGTGCTCAGTACCTGCGTATTGCGCCCGACCCGGGCATTCAGACCAGTGAGGCTGCCGCTCTAGGTGATTGTGAGGCTGCCACTCCAGGTACTCGCGTGTCTACTACCCCAGGTACTGGTGAGGCTGCTGCTCTAGGTGCTAGTGAGTCTGCGCCCCCTGGTACGGAGTCGACTGAGGCACTGCACACCTTCATACTGGACTCAGGTGCTTCTCGCTGTTTCTTTCGTGACCGCACTGCCCTTGAGCCACTTGCTCGGCCAGTTGCTGTCTCCCTCGCTAACCCCTCTGGGGGTCCGGTCATTGCGACCTCCTCCACTGTCCTTCCTTGTCCTGCGGTCCCGTCGGGCACAGTGTCAGATCTCCACCTCCCCTCGTTCTCTACGAACTTGGTGGCGGGTTGTGCGCTCCAGGACGGGGGTGTTCACCAGTTCACCCCTGCCTACGAGCGCGTGACACACTGCACGTGTGCTCGGACGGGCCGTCACCTGGCTACCTTCA